CCGAGCATGAGATAACCGATATATTGGATGATTGCATAAGTTCGTGACCGATTTTCATAGATGGCATTAAGTTACTGCATGGCGGAGTTCTATTGTTTTCGTGTGGTAATTGTTGCTTACACCGAATAGATGACGTTGTCTTATGTCAATTTAGCGTCAGACATTGTTCAGATAAGTCCAGTTGTGCATAAGAGAAATCATTAAAAAGGGAGAACGAAAAGGTGCATTTGCGGCATGTAATGTTATATAAATTTCGGAAAGGCGTGAGTGTTGGGACTGCACAAAAAAATATTCAAACCGTTTATTTGGACCGCGCTCCTGCTCTCCGAACAGTCAAAAAGTGGTTTGGCAGATTTCGAAATGGTGATTTCAACATGGAGGATCAACCCCGCTCTGGACGGCCTTCTGGCATTGATAATGACATTGTGCATGCCTTAGTGGAAAGAAACCCAAGGATTACAACTGAGGATATTGCTAAGAGGCTGAACATCGATAATTAAACCGCTTTTCGTCATTTAAAAAAAGCTTGGATACGTTTCCAAGCTTGATACATGGGTGCCGCATCTCCTGACTGAAAGGAATAAGCTAAACCGTATGACTGTGGCTCTTTCTCTTCTCGAGCGTAACAAAAAAGAGCCTTTTTTAGATCGAATGGTAACAGGCGATGAAAAGTGGATTCTCTACAAAAACGTACAGCGAAAGAGGACATGGAAAACAGCAGCTGAAGGAGCAGAACCCGTAGCAAAGGCTGGCTTGCATCCGATGAAGGTGTTGCTGTGTGTTTGGTGGGATCGCAAGGGAATTATTTACTTTGAGCTGCTCCGACGCGGCGAAACAATCACGGCGGACAAGTACTGTGAGCAACTAACTAGACTCGCTGCAGCTATTCGAGAAAAACGTCCGATTTTGGCCAATCGAAAAGGCGTCATCTTCCACCACGACAATGCTAGGCCACACGTCGCTCAACAGACGCTGCGAAAACTGCAGGAGTTGCAAGGGGAAATTCTGCAGCACCCGCAGCAACCGATATTCTCCAGATATTGCGCCTTCAGATTTTTATCTGTTCCGGTCTTTGCAGAATAGTTTAAATGGCAAGAATCTCAATTCCGAGGAAGCTGTCGAAAACCACCTTACAAACTTTTTTCAAGAAAAAACAAGTTCTTTCTTCAAAAATGGAATCGACAAGCTTATAGATCGTTGGAAAACCATTGTAGAAAAGAATGGAGACTATATAATTGATTAATAAAAGTGTTATCTCTAAAATATAATCTATTGAAGTTTATATTTAAATCGGGCACGAACTTATGCAATCACCTGATATAAAAGTATATAAATCTTGCTCGATATTTTTCTTGATATAAAAATTTTTATCTTATTGCAAGACATCCTGCATAACTATCCGGGAACTTAGAGAAAAATTTCTCTAAAAATGGAAGAAAAGTTCTTTAAGAAATCTATGGAAATACTCGGAATCGTACTCCATGCTGAGAAAGCAAAAGTTTCCGTTAACACTTTTAATACATCAACGGGGATGAAGCATTTAAAAATCCGAGATAAAAACACCGCGAGTCGGACGAGCGCTTTATTTTATCTCGAATTACTGTTTCGAGTTGAGCAGACCGCGGAGAAGAGACAATTAAAACTTTAAACTGAAATAGCACCACCGTCACCGTCACTTGGACAAACTGAATTCTTCGGATGGTGGAAAGCTTTCTTTAGTTGGAGCAACAACTCGCTCAAAGAAAACTTTTCGCGATGATTTAAAACGTTTCATCGATGTACTTTTAAAAGTACTTATGTATTACGATCTACATATCGAGATCATCATTATCTCAAAAACTTATATAATAAGAATATGTTTAAATTGAGAGAAATAATTACATTGACGATTAAATTATCAAATTCAACTCAAAAACTAAAAATAATTCTTTTTAAACTAGAGCATTTTTTGTTTAAATCAATGATTAATATTTCATTTAAATTGTATATTAAATGTTTTAAAAATTTATTTTATTTGTTTTTAGTAATAGAAGATCAGCCTGTCACTCAAGAAGTAAATGAGAATGGAGATATTGAAAATTCTGTAAATCATGAACCAGGTAGATAAATATCGAATCTCTTGATTTGAATCTTTACACATTTATTTATAATATATATGTAAATAATCTTTTTAATAGACGAAGAAGAGACTGATAAATTTAAAAGGAAATAAATTTAAAGGGTAAAAAATTTTTAAAAAATTTAAAAAATTTAAAAGGAAAAATTTAAAAGGAAAATTGTCTCGTAGACGTCCACGAGTCCCCTCCATTCTTTTTTTCCACAGACACCTTTAGGGGGGAGGGCCCCAGACAGTCACAGCAGGGGGTCGGCGCCAGTGGCCGAGGAGTGGGGGTTTGTTTTGACGCCCCATAGTGCCCACTATCTACTGACTGTAATCCTATATTCAGCTGGTTTCAAGATTGTATCAAATGGTTTATCGTGTATTATACAATCTAGATAATATATTACATATATTCCACAATTATAAGTATTATTTTGAAAAACTCTATTATTGCACAAACACTATTATTGGTGAAGCGAGGGGGGGATTTAAGGCGGGAGGAGGCACGAACCAAGCATCCATCTCTTCCGTGGCAGCGGCATTGTCGTGTCTGTGTAGGGCGTTTACACACTTCCTCAGCCCGACAAATAATTGTTAGAAAACAACATTTGCGGGTCTGAAAAAATATGCGAGGTACAAGTGGCTGAATCGGGAATCGAACCCGAGTCTTTCGCTTTCCGCTCAATGGATGCAGTGCCGATTGTCACGGAGAGACGAAATCCCCAGCACGTCTCCAGAGCGGTCCAATCATATTAAACGATTGAAAATTGGCCCCCGTAGCCGCTCAGCGATGAGTCTTGACTCACCACCAGTATGAATGGAAGCCTCCTCGAGTAGTCCATCCTAAACCACTACGCCTAAGCAGCCCCCTCTTCTGCTCCCAATTAATAATACGATCTTCCACCGTCACCACATGGTGGATCTAGTGGACAGATTACCAGCACTTACGCTGGCACAGATGTACACCGCAGAGTGAAGCGAGGGGGGGATTTAGCAAGTTAAATAACCCGAGTCGATCCTTATCTAGGTTGACAGTTAGGGAATCAGGACACGGCGGAGACATCATCTCGTAATTGGTCGACCCGTCTGGGAGTTGACGTTTCTCCGTGGTGGGGGGATAGGCGGCAGGAACTATTTTATAATAATTAGAACTCTCGAAATACGGCCAGCATATCACCTCTAAACTCGAAAATACGATTTTTTCGGGTAAAATAATTGTTTAAAAAATTTTTTAGTTATTTCCTTCATCAGAACTCTTTGGAAAAGCAATGTACATGCCCAAAACTACACGAGAACTATTTCATAATAAGCAGAACTCTCGAAATACAGCCAACATATCACCTCTAGTCTCGAAAATACAAGTTTTCGGGTAAAAAATGGTTTTATTTCATTTTAATGAATATTTGTTACTTTTAGAAGGCAGAACTCTTCTTAGAACTCATATAGAACTATAGATCTTTTAAATTTGAACAATTATTGATAAGGAAAACGTCGTAGGACAAAGTGATATGCTGCGTGAAGTTGGCATATCAGTTTGTCCTGAGGCATTTTCTTTGGTTTAATCGCCAGAACTATTTGTTTAAACTATCAAGAACTCTAGAACTATTGAAAATAAAGCCAGAACTCTTAATTATTTATGATCTTCCACGAAATGATATGCTAGTTTCACACACACGAAAAACTCTCTATGAAATTAGCAACACTGCTTGCATTAATAACAGGACATAGAATACAGACGCTAACACTTATTGAGGTAAAGGACATTGAAAAAATAAGTGATCGAATTGAGGTAAAAATCCCTACAAGGATAAAAACTTCGCGAGTTGAGTTCAATGGCTTGAATTTACGACGATACACGACAGATATGGGGGACATCCGTGGACGTTCATTTCATGTCCATTTTACACCCGCACATTCATGGACATGACATGAACATCCATCATATTCCCAACCAAAGTAGCAGAGTCACATCAAAAACAACATAACATCTTTGGCTGGTCCAAGAAATAATATCTTTTAAACGTCAATTATTATTAGTCGCCGACGTCATAGACCAAAAATAGACGTCTTTATGTCGTCTTTTGACATCACTCTGCTACTTGGGGTGTGGGTTGTGTGCTATGTGGGTGAGGACATTCAACAAACAAAAAATTTTTATAATTTTGTAACTACTACTGTACTACTGTACAACCCGTTTGCAATGATTCCTTTATCTTTTTCATGTTTTCTTCCGCGCTATTTTTACGTTGATTTTCGTAAATCAATTCAATTTCTTGCTGTATTTGTAATAGTTGGGCTTTATATTCTGTCTTCAATTCTTTTTGAACATGCTCCACTTTAGCCTCGTATTGTTCCGCGAGGCGCTTTTCTATTTCAGATATCGCAATCTAAAATGCAAACACAATATTATAATGTTCTAAAAAATTTATTAAAAAATCGGCGAATAAAGCAACATTTATAAATTTGAAAGTGATTGTATCAACATTGATTAGAAATTTAATTTATTTCTAGTCTTTTCTATCAATTTTAATTATATTGCTAGTTTTAAGTAAATATTCATGGACTAACTTTTCATGTGAGAATGGTAATAAATGAACGATATCTATAATGAAATCTAAAAGATCTTATTTCCAATAATAACTTACTTTTTGTCTCATATCAGCCTCAGCAAGTTTTTGATCCTTTAAATCACTCATCCTTTGAATCTCCTCATTCATGTGTTCCCGAGCATCGGTGGCTATCGTTTTTAATCTTTTGAGTTCCTTCTTCAAATCTCGATCTTTTTCTATAAACGTCTTGTGCTCTGCTTTCAATTTATTGGATTGCAATTGTAAATCACTTACTTTGTTATTTAATCTAGAAAACAAATATTAAATAAAAATTATTTAGATGTATGTACATATTAATAGATATACATATTAATCAAATATCATATTAATTGCTGAGGATTAACACGAGGAAATACTTCACATTGCAATTTTATTTAAATATGAAAAGAAATCTTTTCGTGAACATTTTTATGAACAAGTTTCTCATTGACCCATCTCTACAATTAGATAGGCTTCCATGCTTCGAATCTTCTACGAAGGTTCTTTGAACATAAAATGTTTGAAATTGAGATCGTTTCGCTATCCTTGGCCTACTGCCTTAAAACGAGTGGCACCCGTTTGACCACGTTAATATTGACCACGGTCCCAATTAACCACGTTGAGATTGACCACGTTGCGATTGACCCCGTTGATATTGACCACATTGATATTGACCACGGTCCCGATTGACCACGTTGATATTGACCACGGTCCCGATTGACCACATTGATATTGACCACGGTCCCGATTGACCACGTTAATATTGACCACGGTCCCAATTGACCACGGTCCCGATTGAACACACACACACACACACACACACACACACACACATGCGGGGGGTGGAAGGGGGGCTTTCGGCTCCCCTCCCGCACCCCCTCCGCCAGTCAGGCACAATGGACCTCACTTTACAACTTGCAAAGTACATGCCCTAGTAACGACATGTATTGATTCGTGATCAATCGAAACCGTGGTCAATATTAACGTGGTCAATATTAACGTTAACAATATCAACGTGGTCAATCGGAACCGTGGTCAATATCAACGTGGTCAATCGGGACCGTGGTCAATATCAACGTGGTCAATCGCAACGTGGTCAATCGCAACGTGGTCAATCGCAACGTGGTCAATCGCAACGTGGTCAATCGCAACGTGGTCAATCGCAACGTGGTCAATCGCAACGTGGTCAATCGCAACGTGGTCAATCGCAACGTGGTCAATCGCAACGTGGTCAATCGCAACGTGGTCAATCGCAACGTGGTCAATCGCAACGTGGTCAATCGCAACGTGGTCAATCGCAACGTGGTCAATCGCAACGTGGTCAATCGCAACGTGGTCAATCGCAACGTGGTCAATCTCAACGTGGTCAATCGGGACCGTGGTCAATATCAACGTGGTCAATCGGGACCATGGTCAATCGGAATCGTGGTAAATATCAACTTGGTCAATCGGAATCGTGGTAAATTATTAACATGGTCAATATCAACGTGGTCAATCGGGACCGTGGTCAATATCAACGTGATCAATCGGGTCCGTGGTCAATCGCAACGTGGTCAATCTCAACGTGGTCAATCGGGACCGTGGTCAATATCAACGTGGTCAAACGGGACGCTCCCCCTTAAAACAGGTAATATAGAATGATCCTCGTGGGAAACGAGAATTATTTTTCTTACTGTAATATCTTTGGAAAGTATCGATGATTCAACAGCAATACTACTATCAATCCTCATCTTTTATTTATATCGAATTGAGAAAAGAACTCAGGATCAAGCAATGAATGTGAAAAAAATAGATTAATAACATAGGATAATTTCTTACAGAATATTTTTACTTTCTTTTTCTTTTTTTCTTTTGCAGGCATTTCTCGGTTTTAAGTAACATAGTAAATTTCGCATATAACGCGCGGCATTTATCAGGGCGGAATCGGGGGGTATTATTGGGGTATTTATTAGGGGTATTCAAGCAGTGCACGACCCACATCGAGAATTTTATTTTTTACCATGGTGGCCCAGACTGTTATCAATGTTCGTCCGGTTGCCACACGGCAAATCTCGTGTTACTGTTTTTAAACAAGTTAAAAACGATCTGAAAAATATGTGCGGTTTCACCAGAAATACATTGATAAATAGCGAATTGAACTATAATTATCATCTAATTGCTAAATACAATATTAAATCTGAAATATTAAACGTCACATACACGTCAGTCAAATACGATTTATTGTAGATCATTATTTATCGCGATGTTTTTCGTTTGCTTAATCAAATATTATTAATAAATAAATTTTTATTATTTATACTTTAGTTTCATTAAATATATGTAACAAAACACGAGTTAAGAGGATGCCGGATTACCGACAGAATGCGAATATTAGTTAAAATGCAAAATCTTTTTGTTGATTATAGATATCTATAACAAATTTTTAATCTGTACGTGCCTAATCAGTAAACCCCGCACTCAGCATTTCATCAAAGAGTATAAGTGAACTTAGAGAAGTGAGTTTAGAAGCTTTAGAAAAAAGATTTTACGATGCAACACTTTTGTGCGTATGTGTGTGTGCGAGATCGAGGCTCAAGAGTAAAACAGAGCAGTTATGTTTATTTGATACATCATAAATGAGATGCACAACAAATTATTTTCTTTTTCTATTTAACTATAGTTAAATACAACACATGTACATACAAAAATACACATAATTAAATACTTTTTCTATTTATGACATACACAATATCTCATTTATGTTCTATAAAATAAAGATGAATAAATTGATGTATTATTATGTAGGAAGACGAGAATAGAAAAAATAAAAGTCGAAGAAATAAAAGAATATAATAATGGGGATGAAAGAATACAATAAAGAACAAGCAGAGAGAGAGAGAGCGAGAGAGAGAGAGAGAGAAAGAAAGAGAGAGACAGAGAGACAGAGAGACAGAGACAGAGAGAGACAGAAGATTAATTATATTTCTATATTTACAAATTATAATATTTTAATTAATTTGGAACAAGGATAAGAATAAGAATTAGGAATAAGGATAATAAAGTTGTAATAAACAAATTTAATTTAAAATACAAATTTAATTTTAATTTTTTTTTTTGGTACATTGTGTGCGTGTGTGTGTATGTGTGTGTCTGCGCCTGTGTGTGTGCGTGTGTGTACTAATAATAAATTTATAATAAAAAATGAAAATTATGAGTAAAATTACAAAATATAAAAGAACAAATAAAAGAAGTAATAAAATAATAAATTTATATATATATAACGCATGTATCCGGATGGTGCAGGCATATATCCGAGTGGCACAGGTAGCGCAGGCACATATCCGGATGATGCAGGCTGCACAGGCACGTATCCGGATTGTGCAGGCTGCACAGGCACGTATCCGGATTGTGCAGGCTGTACAGGCACGTATCCGGATGGTGCAGGCATATATCCGGGTGGCGCAGGCACATATCCGGATGACGCAGGCATCGGGGGCATATATGGTGCAGGCTGTGCAGGCACGTATCCGGATTGTACAGGTGGCACAAGCACGTACCCCGATGACAGGGGTGCGGGCATGTACCCTGTTGGCGGTAGTATATTAGACGGCATGCCAGCCTTCTTCTGTCTGCGCCTCTCTCGGAATACCGCCCGCCGCACCGCATTACTAATGCGCTGGAAAAAAAATTAAAACATTAATGTTTTTACACACACATACACACACACACACACACACATACTGTATACCATTTACATATATATATTTACATATATACATGGTGTCTCACCAAAAGTGGCCGCTCCTTTTTATGTTTTAAACTAAAAGAGATAGACCATAACAAATGTATATCAAATTAAATGGTTCAAACTGAACTCTATTGTGAGCATAATGGTTGCTTTTGAAAGCTATCTGTGTTAATGAACGGAGAGATATGCATAATTTTTTTATAATAATGTGAATATTTCAATATGATAAATATTGAATGATTGTTTTTTTCTTTACACTGATTGATTTGTCTCATTATTCTGTACATAAAAGTATTACGGTAAGATTATCGAAAACTAAATATTTTACGAGATATTTTATTTTTTATATCAAAATATGTCAGATTAAAATATAAAATAACTCAAAAAGTACTTAATGAAAAAATACTTTATTATAGTGTTTTGAAAAGCTCTCGAGATAAGCTACAAGAATATGTAATAAAAAACGAGAGGTTCCATTTAAGAAATTAAAGGTGTCCTTGACTTGACCTTAACGATGCCATCCAAGGTCAAACCAATGACACCGTCTTATGTTCCCTTCAAAACCATACAATTTTTGTTCAAAACGTTTTTCTCTAAAATGCTTAGTTTTTGAAAGAAAATGGGTGTACGGGTGGTCTAGGACACCCTGTATATTGAATCACGCGCCTGTTACCATTTCACAAATAATTTTAGACTGGAAGATGAGAGATAATATTCCAACTTTCCAAAAAGTCGCATTGTAACACGCACACACATACACACATTCACACTTACATGTACAGTATATGTATGTATATTACATGTGAAAGAAATACATTCTGTATGTATATGTATGCTTGCGCATATTTTATACATATACGAGCACCATACACATGTAATATACATACATATACAGTAGGATAGTAAGGGCGGTTCTAGCTCATTTTCCCATGAGTGCGAGAGAGACAGACAGAGAGAGAGAGAAGGACGGAGATATGATTAGACAGAGATAGAGTGATGACCGCTGGGGGAAGTTCGGGCAGGGGAGAAAGCAGAGGGGGTACGTAGGACGAGACGGAAAGCTCGGCCGGGGGGAAAGCGGGGCGAGGGTGGGGGGTCGGGAAAGCGCGTGACGTCACGAGAGGGAGCGGGTACGAGTCGCCAAGATTGCCCGGGAGATGGCGGTCGGCTCGATCGGGGGTCGCGGTTCCCGACTCGCCCTACGTACCCCCCTGCTCTCCCACCCGCCCCCACGTCCTCCCCTCGGTCATCACTCTATCTCTTTCTAATCATATCTCCGTCCTCCTCTCTCTCACGGACTGTCTCTCTCACGCTCATGGAAATGGGCTAGAACCGACCTTACTAGACGTCCAACGGAATCGACGAGATCGCCCGGGAGATGACGCTCGACTCGATCGAGGTCGCGGTTTCTCCCGGCGCGACTCGTTCCTTAGGGGGGGGGGGCGACGGCGATACCTCGCGCCGCTTCTAGCGCGCGATCCGCTATTGCGATTCTTCAGGGACGCGCGTCGCTTCTAGCGCGCGATCCGCGAATGGACGCCGGGTATCCCGCGTCGAGGGAGACGGAGGATCGTCGGAGCGCGGTTGAACGAAGAGAGGAACGGTTAGCGGAGATACGAGCGCGTTTATCGCTCGAGCGAGACGGCGAATCGTCGAAAGGTCGTGGAATAAATAGAGATCGTTTCTCGCGCGAGAGGAGGAGCGTTTTTATTGTTTCCTTTTACAACATTTTTTAAATATATTAATAATACAATATTTGATATATATTAATAATGCAATAATACGAGTACGCGGATAAGCGTATCACGATTCTCCGAAGAGACGAACCTTGGGCGTTTCGAGACGGAGTATTCGGAGATTGTTGAGTTTGCCGAATCGCAGCGTCAACTGTTCGATGTATATCGGCGCCGGAGGAGCGATTTTCGTCGGAACGAAAATACGATAGAAGCGTGGATCGTAGATCGAGCAGTTCCTTCCACATATCAGACGTTAGCGAGATTTCCTTGCCGTGGCAATCTCCAAGGACGATCTCCACAAAAGAGGGTCGACTAACGTTAACGCTGACCTCGAGATGTTCGTACGCGGTTTTGGTTAATAGGTAGCGTCTTCCTAAGATTCTGAGCGGTCTCGCGATCGAGACATCCGCGTCGCGTCTAGGCGTCCGGTGATTTTATGATAAATTCAAAAATGTGCAATGAAGTGTAGGAATTTGTCATAAAATACCTTATAAATCTCTAATAAAATAGATATGTTGTTCCATTAAAAAAAAAAAATAAAATTGGCATTGAAAAATGATCTCAACTTTTGGTTGCAATTGGGACGCACTCGAGGACACAGTAGGCCCTGAATTTGGCAGCATCGTTCCACAGGGAATTGTTTGCCGTTTGTTAACAATTCGCAAGCAAATGGTTAGCTGGGTAGATATATGTCATGATGTAAAAAAAATTACAATTTATAAGGCATGAGACTTACAAAAAACTAAGCGTTTTGATCCACTTTGAATCTTTATCAATGGTTACATAAAGTTTATATGTATAATGATACAAAAAAATGTACAATAGGAACACGCACACAAAAATTGAGATTGTAGAAATTTCTGCGAGGAAAAGAATCTCAATTTTTGTATGCTCGTTCCCAATGTATTTTTTTTATCATTATAGATATAAACTTTACATAACCATTGATAAAAATTCAAAGTGGATCAAAACGTTTAGTTTTTTGTAAGTCTCATGCCTTATAAATTGTAATTCTTTTTACATCATGACATGTACTTATACATCAGACTGATAAAAAAAAGGTACAATAGGAACACGCACTCAAAAATTGAGATTGTAGAAATTCCTGCGAGAAAAAGAATCCCAATGTTTGTATGCGTATTCCTATTGTACTTTTTCTTTTATCAGTCTGGTATGTAAGTATATGTCATGATGTAAAAAGAATTACAGTTAATAAAAAATATGAATACAAATTTCACATATTAAATAATATGAATTACTCTCTAAAAGGCACAATTTGCATTTGAACAATAATTTATTGTTTTTATTTTAATGTAATTTTAAAACAACATTGTGAGGTTCAGTGATATACAATCAGTACAAAGTAAAGAGTGGCTAATTGAAGTCTGATGTGTAGATATATGTTATGATGTAAAAAAAATTACAATTTATAAGGCATGGGACTTACAAAAAACTATATAATAATAAAAAAATATATAGTGGGAACACGCATATAAAAATTGAGATTCTTTTCTTCGCGGAATTTTTACAATCTCAATTTTTGTGTGCGTGTTCCTATTGTACTTTTTGTTTGTATCATTATACATATAAACTTTACGTAACCATTGATAAAGATTCAAAATGTGTACATGATATAATATTACAGATGTGATAAAATAGTGTTGTGCCTCTAGCCGCTAAGGAAGAGGTCTTTAGGGATTTATACGCCCAAAGGATTAGGATCCACGCTCGAAATAAGACACTCCCGGACGTTAGGTATAAATTAATATATTTCACAGGTTTTGGTACACTTTTACATATTCGCGATTATAATAGTCGGGCGCGATGTACGGTATATCGATACTGTTGAAGCAATTATCACGCATATCTACACTTAATGATATTCCATCAAATATGATCTTACGATATCGAGAATAATTGTTACTTACATGCTGCACAGATACTTAAATAGAAGAATCATTGTCACGATTCTGATTTGTTCCGTGAATTTCTATCTCTGCCATTCTATTGAAGAATTGCTGAAGAGGTAATCCTGGCTTTCTACAATATTTTCTAAAAATTATCATGTTATTTTCGTATGGAAAAGCAGAAAAAGAATCTAATTTACCAAGATGTCTCACATCGTTAGTGAGATGAAGAAGACCATGTACATTATAACTATTAAAAGTTGAACCGTAAAGATTTTTACTTCGTTGAACAAATTTTTGCAGCACAAGCTCTGCAAACCGTAGTTGTAATTTTGATGGTGAATTTGAAACCAAAATTCTTATAGCTACGTGTAAGAATAAAAAGTGCTTGTATAATTGATCGTCTAAAATACCATATGTTACAACTATACCTGTATAGAGTAAAAACTGACGGAACTCTGTGGCTTTATATTTAGAGCATGCATCGAGGGATCTAGGCCGTTTTGAAAAATCCGAGGAACAATATTCTTTAAGAGTGTTTAGTCTCGCACACATAATAGAAATGGATCGGCCAGACAATTTTGACAATCGTGAATATTTCCCATATACCCATGCGGATAAAAGTTTTTTCATTATACCCAGACGTACAAGATGCATATATTCAAATGGCACTTGTGAAACCATACCTATCGGAACCATCGACGATGGACTCTTACCTTCTTTATGATGATCCCCATCCACACACCTTATATATTCCTCATCGGTTCGAAGAGGATGATTGACATCATTGAAGACATAACGGGCTTCGCTACGTGTACCAGAAACTTTGCATTTGGAACAAGGCTGACTAGACTAACTTATATAATTTAACTTTCTTTTAATTTTTTATATTATTTATCGATCATTTTAAGGGCATCTTTTCATAACGAAAACATATGACATCCTTAAAATGAAGATTGATATATGTTCGGGAGTCGACCTTGACGAGATCGCCCGAAACTGATAGAAACGCTCAGAGATGAGCGAGAAGCTTTGTGTAACGCGGATCCGTAGATCCGCTGGAGGACAAAGAGATTTTAGAAAATGTTCGAGTACAGGTTGTTTTAAATATTAGTTTTATTTTGAATTATAGAGGAGCGAGCGACGGCACGTTCTCCGCTATTCCGACGGAAATCTTCAAATTGTCCTATTAATCACTGCCCCTTTTTAGCGGTTCGGAAAT